CGGACACGAAGGCCATATAAGGATGAGACAACTTACCGACCGTGATGTCAACGCCATCAGAGCTTGTGAGAGTAACAGTGGTCATTTTGACAATCTTTGTAGTATCGATATCGTGATCTGATTCTGCAGCAGGCGTTAATAACAATTTCAAATGAGAAGTCTGGAAGCTCTCGCTCAGCAGACGTTGCGAGGGGCGCAAGGCGGGGGTCTCTGACAATGATTCTGCGTTTTGGTCAGTGGAAAGCTGGAGATATTTGAGCAGTTGTAGGATTTCAGGGAACAAGGCGAACCTGGTGTTGTTGAATGTTGATAGCACTTCCCGTATGTAGCGATGTAGCAGGGAAGAATGGAGATTAAATAAAGAAGCTGGAGTCGACAAGTGAGAAGAGGTTGGTTCTTGCGGCGGCTCTTCGTATTAGTGAATCTTCCGCTGGGGAAAGGGCCGCGAGCAGTGACTAAACCACTAATCCTAACTTCGCCCCCACTAGATACTAGGTACCCTTGATGGAGCATGGGTTGGCAGCCTAATGTCTTTGTGTCGGTATTATTCTACAAAGTCTGCCTAGTCGATACCCTAGTACTCGTCAAGATGATGTCTGTGATATCCATGCCCAGAGACAGAATGACCTTGGTCCTCTTGTAGTCATTCAAAGTTTCAACGACAAATGCTCATAGATCTTGATACTCGAAACAGCAAGTACAAATAGCAAGAACAAGAACAGAACTGGTCACATTTAGAGACGACAGTCCTTGGCTAAGACTCTCCATGGTCTCAGTTATCATTCACCTCCAATGAAAAAAGGGGAAGTCTTTGTGGGTTAGAATTCAAAGAGACTTGAGTTCTTGACCTTGACAAAGATGCTCAGAAGTCGAAAGAACACACACACACACACACACACACACACAACGTTTTGATGGGCTTTTACCTACAAGAAAGAAAGCAACGGGAAATTCCTTCAAGGGTCTCAGTTGCAAAGTGCTATCTCCACTGCCAGGCCTCACTGACTTCTTGATCAATCGTCAAGTACCGATTGCAGCCAACTATTACGGCGAGTGAACTCGGATATTTCACATCCAGAAAAAAGCTTGAGGTCTGAGGGCTGTATTATACTTCCCGCTACACCTGGTCCGTTAGCTGCAGATTTGCTGTATCAAGAAAGAAAATAGAAAAACGCAGCAACTGCGTCGAATCTACTGCAGCTAGGACAAAGGACAAAAGCTTTGAACGGTATAACTTCGTCAGGTCAAATGACAAAACAAAGATCTGGACTCGCGGGGAATCGAACCCCGGACCACCTGCTTGCAAGGCAGGTATTATACCACTAAACCACAAGCCCAATTTGATGTCATGTGACTTGTGTTTGACTACCAGAGACAAACAATCTAGATGATGCAAACCGGACGAAAAAGATAAGTAAAAATAAGACGAAGGCAAAAAGCGGACAAAAAATGGACTCACGGGGGATTGAACCCCGGACCTCTCGCATATCTAGTCCGAAGACCTGCACCTTTATCAATGCAAAGCGAGCGCTACTACCACTGAGCTACAAGCCCATTTGTGTTTAATCTTTTTTATTTTTGTTTTAGATGAATTTGAGCCGCAAGGCTAACAATTTTCATACTTCATGTTGTCATCTCACTCAAGTTTCCCTGATCTCGGTCCAACTGACCGATAGGAAGATATTCAAAAGAAACAAAGGAGCAAACGGCGTGCAGTACAATCATGAGCCCTTTGTCTAGTACTCTACTCCGTGTCAGTATCCTGGCAATATGTAGATACCTGTAAGGAAATAGTCACAAGCTTTTCTTTTCCAGTACCAATGATATCATCACCCGACCAGACGCGTCTCCGTGCTCTTATCGAGTGGGAAAAAGAAAAACATCAGAGAGTGGTAGCACCACGTAGACTAAGCTCTTTTATTGGTTTACTTGTCCTCTGATCTGACAGATTTTATTGCGACTGTCTGATCAGCAACCCAACCCATCCCCCTTTATCATTATTCTCAGTAACTGTCCGCTTTCCGTCTTTCAGATACGAGGCCTTATCGGATGCTCCGGATCTGTTTTTCTGTCCTCAAGCTCCTGATGCAGCAGCATGTAACTGTTATTTCGGTCGGATCATTCTTATCTCTTCTTCATCCCGGCGTACCGTGCGTTTTTGACATCTGAGTCATGTGGAGACGGACATACTTGCTGCTATTATTCGTTCGAGTCTACTTTGCGCTCTCGCCCAGTTATCTCCATCCAGATGAGAACTTCCAAGGCCCCGAGGTCTTCGCGGGTATGTCGTTCTCCCAAATTCCTCAAGTTGTGTATATATGGCGCTGCGGTTATTACAACAACGCGATCGCAATGCTGGTCTCGTTCCCCATTGCGAGCTTTAACGGTCTCCCCATCGCGCAACTCGTTCCCTCTTTAAGAGTCGGCGCTTCGCAATCAGCAAACTGACGGGACACTTAGGTCGCACACTCTCGTACACGTCCAAATTACCGTGGGAGTTCACCTCTGAGAATCCTATTCGCAGCGTCTTTCCACTATGGCCGGTTTACAGCTTGCCGATGGGCCTTTTGAAATGGTTTTACGGGGAGCTGGAGATAGGGAATCCCTCTCCGGAGGTGGCTTACTACTTTTTGAGAGCGGTCATGTTCCTTTTAAGTTTCGTTTTGGAGGACTGGGCCATCTACGAGCTGGTCCCTCTTCCTCGACATCGCCGGGCTGCTGTGGTGCTGGTTGCATCCTCGTATGTCACCTGGACATATCAGACGCACACCTTCTCCAACTCGCTTGAGACTTTATTGGTCACCTGGGGTCTGGTGCTGATTCGTCGCATCGTTGGACAAAAGGTTTGAAACATCGAAGAAGATTGTCATGAACCTCCTGAGCTAATGGCTGCATATAGCGACGCTCATCCGTCTTTTCTTGTGTCGTGCTCGCATTGATCGCTGTCGCTGGTGTTTTCAATCGGATCACCTTTCCAGCCTTTCTTCTGATTCCAGGGCTTCAATTACTGCCACATTTCTGGCGCCGGTAAGTCTCATTATCCGAGGTGGCAGGCTGTCGGATCAACTAATGCTGAGGAGCAGACCGACCTCATTGTTTGTCTTCGTCGTCTGTGGCCTGTTCTTCTCTTGCATTGCTATAATCGTCGATACTAGGTTTTATCGCCCGTCTGCATCAGTACTCGACGCCCTCCGCTCGCCTATAATCACACCTATCAATAATTTACTCTATAATACGAAAACTTCGAACCTGGCTCTTCATGGACTCCATCCAAACTACCAACATTTTCTAGTCAACTTGCCGCAGCTTCTCGGACCCGCATTTCTGGCAATGGTCCTGTCCTTATGGAACCGTCCAGCAATTCCTTCTTGGCTGAAGACAACACAGGCCGTTTCCGCTCTGTCAGGTACCGCAATGCTCTCGATCTTCCCGCATCAAGAGCCCCGTTTCCTCATTCCCTGCGTGCCACTCCTCCTTAGCTGCTTCCGCCTGCGCAAATCACGTCTGTTCCTTGTAGCCTGGATCGTTTTCAATGCTGCTTTGGGCTTTTTGATGGGCGTCTACCACCAGGGTGGCGTCGTGCCCGTGCAACTGGCCATCCCCACCATAATTTCGGCAAACACTGTGAAGTCGAATCCCTCGTTGGAGAATCAGCCCAGAGTATCCGCGACAGTATTATGGTGGAAAACGTACTCTCCCCCATCGTGGCTACTGGGAAACAATACCAGCTTCCCGCTGGATATTGATACGCGCGATATGATGGGCATTCCTGGAGCAGAGATGGCCCAGGAACTCGAGAAGTTGGTGCCGCCATGTGGCTCTCATAGCGGGACTCACATGGACGATGGCAACGCCGGATCCGGGAAATCTGATCGAACGAACTTCGTGTTCGTCGTCGCCCCAAGATCTGCTACATACCTCGACCGATACACAACAGCGCCAGCAGGCTCATCCGGTCTGGAACTACAGGAGCTCTATTCCTACCCAAAACACATCAACCTGGATGATCTCGATGTCGGTAGCGACGGACTGCTCGCGACTTTAAAACGCGTCTTTGGCAGACGTGGACTGAATGTTTGGTTTGTCCGAAGGGCGGGCTGCGATTGACCCCTCACCCGCTACACTATTTGCTCTCTGATTCCCATTTCTCTTCGTCCTTGGCTCAGTTGAGCATTTGAACGTCTATAAACAAGCATAATATGTGCTCCTGCGGCCTGTTCCATTCCCCTTTTACAGCGGGTCAGTCGACGCACGCATTCTACTCGACATCCTTTCCTTCAGGGATGAGACTTTTCGGATACCCCTTTCCCAGCGTCAAATATACCCGTACAAAATATGTCCCTCGTACTTCGTTTATACCCCTCATCGCAATATCCCATAATCATAATTCATGACTAGTCAAATGAACGGGACGACAGATCGAACGGTCAAAGCAAAGAGAGCCACTACTTGTTTCTTGGCATGTTCACAATTGATAACCCTCGCTTGCGTCAGATCTTCAACAGGTCGTCGCAAGATCTACAGTCAAATGTACTTGGTGACCACTGCTATCTGCAAAGGACATCTTTTGCTTACGTCTTCATCCCTACGTTTCTGTAGAATCGGGCGATTTGGGTCCGGTTGCCAAACCTCGTCATGGCGGTGGAATAGAGGCGAGAGAAGAAATAGAATACATGTCAAGATGACCCAGTGCGTCTCATTGATAGGTACATGACCCACGCGTCACGTAAGAAGAGGTAGATATCATACGTTGAAACATCGAGTTCCCAATTTCATTCACTAGGGCAGCTGTTTCGACATAGAAAGAACACACGCAAGTGAGGTGACAGGGAAATGATAAAAGAAAGCTTGCACAAAGCCCGATTCAAACAAAATCGGTTTCGTACAAGAGTCAAAAGACGTTCATGCTAAATTCGTCAGGAGAAGAGAATCAACTCGAGTAGATTGACAGGCAATCGGTAGACGAGGAGCCTCAAACAAAAGCACAGAAAAGCAGTTCATCACATGTCGTCAGGATCATCAGGGTTCTCAAAGAGATAATTGGCTGCGAGCTCTTCGTTCTTGTCACAGGCAAAGTAGGCCTGGATGACCAGGTCGCGAGAGAAACCAAGTCGGCAGAGCTGGCAACCAGTTAGCATGAATTATAATAGTAGCAGTATCAGTATGAAGAGGTACGTACGCGTTCAATGGCGTCTCTCTCCTCCTCTGTAACGCTGATTGCGTGGGTACCTGGAGGCAGCGCGCCATCATCCTCTTCACTCAAGAGCTGGAGAAACTGCTCCTCATTCTGACCGATGAGCTGTGCAATCTGAGGGTTACCAGCTGCGACTTGCTGAAGGATGGGTTCCAGCATCTGTGGCTGTTGCTGGACCAACTGGCGGAGCTGCTGAAAGTGAGGGTTATTCCGCAAAAAGTCGAGATTGGGCAGTCCTTCCCCAGCTCCGGCAGCACCCGCACGAGCTCCACGACCAGTGCCCTCTCCAGTGCCGGCCTGAGCAGCGGCTTCAAACAAATTCACTGGCTCATCACCACCAGTCGACGAGGGAGCACTCTCTCCGGAAGGAGCGGACGGGGCAGGCGGTGCGGCGGCTGCGGCAGCCTGTTGCGGCTGCTCCTGTTGGATGTTGTCCGGGATTCCCTATATAGGGAATTAGCATTAGTCATGCGAAGCGCACGTGAGTACAGCAGGTGACAGCTCACATTCAATAGATACTCAATAGCACGATCAGGGTTGAAGAAAGCCGCTCTCATGGCACGGTTGATATCGCTTCTGGGGAAGCCCATGCTCTCCATTTGACTGATGACAGCCTCACTCTGGGAGCCACTCAGCAATGCGGATGGGTCATTGAACGCAGCAGATGCATCGGCAGGTGCCTGAGCCGGAGCGACGGGTGAGGGGGTCGCAGGTACAGCCGGAGCAGAAGAGGCAGCAGAAGGGGCTAGAGCAGACGGGGCAGGAGCAGACGGGGCAGCAGGCGTGGAGGCAGCAGCTCTCGAAGGTGTCGAAGGTGCCTGTGAAGGTGTAGCGGCAGACGAGGGAGCCTTGGGCTACAGAAGATGGTATGGTCAGATGCAGTGCTCAGAAGTCGTTTCAGTAGCAAGACCAGCGTCATTACCTTCGATACCATGCATACTATGAAGCCCTTCTCCTCAATGTTGTATGTCTCGATGGTCTTGTCATCTTGGAGAATTTTCCCTGCGAGTTATCCAGCGAAGCGTCAGCCAAATCAGCTAAGAAAAAGCAGGAAAGGAGACGAGAAAAAGGCTGTGCCATTCGAGCAGGTACTTGAGAAATGATAAAACCCAGGGCGATCATTGTCAGACTAACCGGAGTAGATGAGCTTGAGCTGAGGTACCTCCCATCCTTTTTCCTTGGAGATTTTTTCCTTTACTTGTCCGACCTAGGAAAGATTCCGGTCAGCCCCGCACCGGCAGAACACTCGCGCAGGGACAAAAGCTCACCGTCTCCGAGGGCTCTGCATCAATTACGAATTTCTGCTGTTTGAGATCCTATTGGTAAGAGACCGCGGTCAGTATTTGATGGCCCAATATATATCAAGAGGCAGGAGTTGGTTGATGCAGAAGGTACCTTGAATGTGAGCTTCATCTTGCGCCACCGAAGGAGAGGAGATGGCTACGAGAGGTGGGGAGGAGTTTAAAGTAGCTGGAAATAGAGGGGTACGGGGGTCGTAGAATATCAGGTATCCGTAGCAGTGGCTGTAAGGTAGTTGAGTGGGATATTGAGATAGCTAACGAGCAAGATCAGAGGACGTAGAAGAGAAGAGAAGCTGGATTCGTGAAGTGGGAAAGATTGATGACCATAATCATGACGCCCAAGAAGAATGGAAAGGGAAGAGGTGGGAGAGCTGGGGGCGGTCACGGCTTCATGCGCCACCTTCACTCGCTGTCCAGCCACAGTTTGTGTCAGTGCTCCAGCCACAATGATTAGTCATTTCCGTGTCCTGTCTTGGCGGCCCGGGTCCATGAACACCTGCTCCCAAGGCCGTACAGTAGTATACTTTTTATTACTCAATGGATGTCTTTGCCTCAGTAAAAGTCAGTTAGATCCCTAGCAATCAGACAGTGAGGTTACAGAAAGATATCCGCTGATTCTGGGTCTCCGGGTTGTTCTATCAGCATATGGTTTACTCCAATACAATAATGCTCTCTACCACGATATATATATATCGGAAGTGGATGGTTGTAGTATAGGTATCACGTTGCATATGTTCTCCTGGGCTCAACTACTACATACTGTCACTAAACAGACACAAACCTACAATCAAAGCTCATGGGACGTATACATGCTCAACTGACTACTCCTGTCATGTAGTAACTGGCAGAGATATCGGATGTCTCGGGGTCAGGTCGGAGCAGGAGCAAGCAGATGCAGTACATGTGATCGAAAGCAAAAGATATGGTTGCAGCACGGTTTGTTGAGCCCAAGGGGATCTACTAATGGAGGCTGCAAAGAGAGCTGCAAGCAGAAGCAATTCAATAATAGAAAAGACTAGCCGACCGACCTGAAGGATATATAGCGAAGATACGGAGTACTCCGTAACCAATGCGGCAATACCCATCCACCTCCTACCTTCCACTCTATACAGAAGTACCATTGCAAATAAGGCCATTCTTCCTCCAACACTAACGAACTACTCTGTAGATGTATCAAGCTTCGTAGAATCCCCAATAGATCTAGTCTGTGGGCAGCAGGTTATGCGAAAAAGGTCAAACCACTGGTGGTTGGATGTATCGCATAGATCTATCACATAGTTCAGCGCTGGAGAGAGGAGCCCACAAGCCAGAGACCGAGGAGGCTGTGATCCTATCTTCTGGGACTAGCTAAAAAATAGTGCGAAGCCACTTTCATATTTTACGCCAATCCTGAGTGTGACCCGAACCCGACATTCTAATAAATCCCTACCCTCTGTATCTTGTTCTCCGGAAACGACCTATAGACTTGGTCAGTTAACTCTGTGGCATAGTGGTTGTTGATTCGATAGGTCCCAAGTATTTGACAACTGAACACTCCACAAGATATCAGGCGAGGACTGCGAGACATCACATTTCGACCGGGGGTATTATTCCTAGTTGCATCTGCGTACTCCATCTTGATGCCAAATGACCAGCTCGGACGATTTCACATTGTGGAATAGGGCCGTCCCGGGATCCTGGAGATCATCACCAGCCGCTCCGTCCAGCGTGTTGACGAACCTTGACAAATAATTTTCTGGATGAGTTCCATATGCGAAACAGAATCTTCGCTTTCCAGACGTCCCAGAGCTAATCCTGATTGGCTAAGGACTGCCTTTAGAGCCAGCCCAGGAGATCTGAACTCAGGAATATTTGATAGTCGATCTCTCACGACTGGAGTTCCCTGCCTGTCTAAACAATCTCATGGACAAACGCAGAGGAATTCACTATACATATAACCGCTGGCGTTTTCGAAAGAAAAAGGGAAAGGATTCGGTCGAAGGTATGCAAAGGGGAAACCTGTTGTGTGCGCTGGATTGATCTGCTGGAGAAACAACTCAACCGCGCATAGACGGGTGGGACTCTGAATAACTTTTCTTTTTTCCCACCTACGCTGGACATTCAATGTTTGATCCAGTAACACTATCCATCCTATATCGTCCATCGCTATCCAGTGACGAATCAGGAGTGCTATTGGGCAGCTTCAAACCCACAGATGCCCGGATGAGACTTGCTAAAGATCCTGTCATCCCTGCCCAGAACTTCATTGAGACAAGCCATCGAAGCCCTGATTCTATCCATCCCAAATCCCAAGGTTCAGGGGACCAAGGTCCAGGGGACCCCTCCCCGGGTTGGTGAGCCATTCCTATCCCGGTAGATAAATAATTTAGGATCTATGGAGTCTTGCCCCCCCGGGATGATGCATATTTACCCGTCTCTTCCCTCATGTCAACAAGGTTCTGAGCTCACCCCTATGCCTGTTACACCACAGGGCCCGTCATACTATTTCTCCTCATCTCATTGTTGTCATTGTAATCTGCTTTACTGTTGACCTTTTATTCCTAGCATGCAGCATTCCTAATTTCCATAATCTCTCTGCTTCTTCCTACGCTGTTGATACGATTGATGATATGACCCATTTTGTTACTATTTGCTCATAATATCGCCAGAGCTCTTGGTTACTCTGGCCGCCCTTTTCTCTTCTAAGATTCTGCTGCCTATTAGGATTCCTCCTACACTATTCGGATTCCCTAATTCGACTGCGTCAAATCAACTGTGCATTTAACTCCACACCAGTACCCCTCGCATCTCGAACGTGCATCTGGATCTCTTGTTAGTTGTTGCTACTGGTTGATCGCGTAAGAGCACCTGCAGGGCCCAGTATGCATGCGGCCGAGCCGGCCTATCTTCTGGGAGGTATTTCCATTGCGTTGAACTTGGTCGCTAGCGTCCTCCACGGCGTTTGTCTTGCTTCATCAGGAGCCTCGTCAATCGAATCGATCACTGTCACAACCAGCGCCGCTAGCTGCCTGGTGTTGCTTACTTTGATACTTCTATGGAAGAAGAACATTTGGCTTCGGTCTAGAGACCGTTGGGCAAGGTGGCGGACCATAGCATATGGCTTCATCTTGGCATATCTTGCAATATCCAGCGGCGTCACAGCTGGCGCCGTCGTGTGGAGCACCTCAGAACTCGAGGTAAGGGGGAAAGAAACGGGGACACTTCCAAGCCAGCTGGGACTATACATATCCAGGTCTGTGGTATGGACATTGGCTGTGTTAAGCCAGGGGCTGTTTGCAGGTTTTCTTTTGATTGACAACTCCCACAACCAATGTCCGAGCTCGCTCTCGCAGGAGATTGTGCTGCAACCAGACCAGTCCAGCCTAAAGCATAAAAGCGCTGCTAAGGAACCAGCATTGACCATTGAATCGAGTCGACAATCCATTGATCAAAAAACGAGCTGCGATAGCAGTCTTTTCGCAAACGAGCCCGCTACCTCAATCGCGTCCTCTCACCGCTATTCTGGAAGGACTCTATATCAACCGGATTCTAAGCATAGTTCACTTGATCTTCAAGCACCAGGGCTGGGTATGCCGTCCCCTGATTCCAACGCTTTCCGCAACCGATTAGAAACGAGGCAGGATGAACGGGACAGCTGCAGCATAACCACTGAGGAGCGGCAAGGGATGCGCATAATTCACGGGACCCAATCCGAGATCAAGAGGTCTTTGGACAGTTTGATGTTTCAGCCATCATCAGGCACGTCATCTCCGGCCGCATCGACGACTAAGCTAGAGGCTTTTCGAGCGCCTGCGCCTCCAAAGCTGCAGTTCCCTGACGAGAGCAATATCCACCCATTGTTTCGTTCCGATAGCCCATCGCCACCGCCGACGCCTTTGCCCGGAACAAATCTCCATGGGCTAGCCGTGACCGGGCAGACGATCTCGGTCAAGACGTTGAATCGGATGAGATCGGCCAATTCTCTTCGGGCTCACGGGCCACGAAGCAGGTCCCCACGGATCGAGAGGATAAATCAGCAAGGCGGGACGACGGGGGACCAAAAGCCGAATCCAAGCCTTGAGAGCCGAGGCAGATTAGCTGAAAAGTCGGCGATACCTGGATTCCTCATGGCTGCGGATGTGCGCAAGAGCATCGCCCGGTATGAGAAGAGGTATGAATTGAATGAATCCCCAGACGAGAGCTAGTATGACGATTTTTACTAAAATGCTCTCTAATGATCATTTTCCTTTGTTCCTTTTTGTCTGAGTCTGTTTGCCATATATCTCGGGAACAGGGTGTTTTGCTATACAGGTGCAACAGAGCTTACGCTAAGTGTTTTCAAGTCTTCAATTATGTACATAAAGCTGTATAGAGCATAAGAGTAATAAAACGTTAAGAGTAGAGTTCAGTTTATCCAAGTAATTTCTCGGAATTCGAGTACCCTCATGCCGGTGCCTTCAGTCTCCTAAAATTGACTTCCAGCCATCTTGTTATGCTTCGTCACCTGAGCAATGACGAACAAGAAGACAACGTGGAAGGCAAGTAGGCAGATATGCGGCTTGGACGGGGATGTTATATTGATTATGGAGTAAACTCCATTGAACGATGGATATCTCGTCTTCTGAATGCTGCATTGGTATTTGATGCTCATATGGTGGGCTGTTGTTACTGTATAGATAGGTAGAGCTAAACCTGGATCTAAGAAAGAGTCTTTGGGGGGTATTGATGGAAAATTCTTCTTCTCCCTTGCGGAGGAATACTCGTTGAGATATGAAAAGTCTACGCTTGTCATATCATAGAACTCTGACTCGGTTTCAACTTAATTGTAGAATGTGTTCGTGCTCATTCCAATGTATGCATTTAGCTTCATTCACTAGTCCTGACTGCTCGCCCTTGCAGTGTTTATTCCATCAGCTTGTCTTGCGTTGCTTCTTTTTCTTCCTCTCTTTCTGTTTCTATTCAATTATTATTATCATTATGATTATCCTTATCAATCATCCTTTTATTCTTCTTCTCTCCAACAATTTCTGACCAAGTGTTTTGGCAATTTTGCCATGGCAGCTATCTTTGCTGCCATACATACTTCCACTCTCCAACCGTTGCGCCACTCCACTCTCGCTCTGACCCAGTCAA